GATTCTCTCCCCATCGCATTGTGGGGGGAGTGAGCGAGCAGCTGGGTGGGGCTGAGCTGCTGACTGGGGTTAAACCACAACACATATGTGCCTTAAAGATACCTTAAAGATACAAAATACAAAGATATGACCCCTTCAGGGTCAGGTTGGGCCAGCCTGCAGGCAGTGCTGAGGGGCTGTAGTCAATGTTTGGATGTAAGTGGGGACATGCTTGGGTGATTTGAAACGCCGGCAGATCGGGCTTGGACCTGCCTGCCGTACCTTTCTGTAAATATATTTTAGATTTCTGAAAGTGAAATTTCAGTCTTCCATGGCTGTCCGTGTTTCCTGGGTACTGTAGCAGCAGTGCTCACTGATGGCTTCTGGGTTGCCGGGGGAGGCCCGCGTGCTGGCAGCATCCCCAGGGTTTCCCCTCCCCTGCTCAGGTCTCACAAGGCAGGCAAGACCTTGACGCACCTGTACAAAACTTGCTGAGCACAGCCCTGCCTGCTGGCCTTCCTCCTGACGGACATTTAGACTTTTTTTGTAATCCTTTCCATTTGGTCAACGTAGAAGCTGGTGCTTTAAATTAATTGCTTATTAGTCTGTGTAGTGCTGCCACCGTTTCCACTGTAAGCATTCGGTAGTGTGGCATGTCTGTTACAACCTCACATGAATGAGGAGCGGAGGGAAGGCTGTTGCAGTATGGACGGTTTTATTCTGTATAATTCAGGCTAATGGGCTGCATTTGAAGGTGGTAATTCCTGGCCCGTGTGGAGTGGATACTGCACCCACTCCTGGATTTTTCCACAGATCCTGGAGGGACTTTTGTAATTCCTGAGGCGTAACCATGAATTACATTTTTTTTTTTTTTAAAACCCCTATTTCAAGCTCACTTTGCTTATTTTATGAGGGGAGAATTTGAAAGATGGTTTGTGTTTCCAAGATTTGGAGTTTACATTCGAATTTTGTTCAAGGATAGGGCATTTAATTGGAGGCTGTATGATTTTATACATGTTTGAGTGAGACACAATGAGGAATTTCCATCCTGTTTTCCATGTGTAAAAGAAAGGAAGAAATGTCCCTTAGCTTCCTTGTCTAATGACAACATTGA